CTAACCTGCACAATCGTAATATGAATAGATTATGATAAAAAAAACTACCAATTAGTTCCACAATCTCCTCAACTCAGACACGGGAAATCTTTTGCTTAGTTACCTAACCCGACAGCAACAATTTCGTATGTGTGGTATGCGTTGGAATTCATGAAACATTGATTGCTTTCTTTCGATGGGAAGGGTTACTTGGGTGAGGTTATCAAATTGATTGCCAGGGGGCACAAACTAGTTTAATCACCTCAATAACAAACTGTCTTCCGACTGAGCATTGTTCTAACCGCCTTTGTAACTTACACTCGAAGAATGTCATTACTGAGTACTGACACTGTTAACTGGTTTTCGAAGTTTGTACCAATTCAACCAAGTATATTATAAAAAAGCTGCGCGAGAATTCACTCCTTATATATATTCCATAGCAAATTACGTCTTCTTCGAATGGGGAATAAAACAGCGGATTACTTAGGTTTTGAACATTTTGACAACACTTGCATGCATACTCCCACGGTTTCCGAGCTGCATACATTCTATTTTTTCTAAGCATATATCCATAATTCTGTGCATCCCCATAAAGTGACCCCCGGTGCACATTGATAATCGCAGCAGATATGGGTCATGTGCCATTTCTAGGGAGTAACACTAATTAACCAGAAGATGATGAGCTGCACGAAAAAGCATGCAAGTCATAAGACGATGAGGCGTTTGCCGGGAGGGGTTTATTAGAGGTCTGAGGTTTCGAGTAGTTTCTTCGTCTGCGCATCTTCAGACCTCTGATAAATCTTTCCCCGCGAACGCCTCCTCTTCTTTTGATATACCATCTGCGAATCAAATTTTTACTACTATTGAATCATGTAAGTTTCAAAACTTTGCCCTTATTTCAACCTTCTTCATAACCTCGGTAATTCCTGCCTCTAATTATAGGCTGGAATGAAGTTTCTTTAAAATGTGTACAAAATGAAATTTTGATAGAATTCCCTGTAATGTGGGGTTTACTTTTGAAACCATTGAAAATTAATCAGTAAAAACGCAGACTAACTATCTGATGATTTTTTTCGAATGTTGACCGGAACGATGCTCACTTAAAATCAAGTTTGTTCCTTTGTAGGGGGTTATTTAGATGTATGTTCCCTGTCGAGCATTTTGAAGCCGCACTTAAGCAATCCTCACGTCCGAATGAACGTGTGCGGTAAGAAGATAAACAGGGGAAAGGCCGACTTTTTATGTTTGGCTAAAGAAATAAAAGTAGGTGCATTCTGTCATAAGTTTCATTGTGGTCTTCCTCGAAGTTCAGAAGCGGAGCACTTGCTTGAACTACACATGCGCACAGCCTCTATATAGTCAAACCGCTGGCCATTTCACTAAAAGATCCGAAAACACGAGGACCACCTGCTCCGAAATGTGTAACGAGCTTGGTCTTGAATCCTGACGCATCAGCAAATGATTTTGCAGATTGCTATTGCCGACAAAGAAAAGGGAGACTGGAATGACCAGTTCTGGCTTATTAATTGTCGTCAGCAAGTCATACCCAACCCCGAAGTGTGGAACACCTGAGGATCGATTCCGCGACCTGTCAGAAGTTCAATGCCTCTAACCACTGAGCCAAGGGCTCGTTGTCTTGTCGGTTACGATCGGGAACATACATTGGTGAAGGGGCGCTCACCGATCGTTTCTACGGAACTCACTTGTCCCGTTGTGCATTACAGGTTCTCTCTCTCGAGTCCAACCGGCAGCCGCACAGCGGCGCACGATATTGGCAGAATGTTATTGCCGACACCTACCTTCAGAAAGCAGGCCGCAATTATTCGTTTACCTTAAAGCCCGTAACAGTTGTTCCAAATCGATCAATTCGTGTTTGTTCCCGAGTAAAGTTGGTATCAAAAGAAGAGCTTGTAGCGAAAAAAGAATGCTCTGCGTCAAGCAGATACCCGTAGTAACACGACGGAGATAGTTGACAAATACTGAATTCTAGCTTCTTCAAAATCCTCCTTGCAGTCAGTAACTTGCACATATGTCTCCTTGCGTGGTCCGCTACATGTATGCAGGAAGTAGCAAACACACGACATTCTTAACGGCCAGGCGGACCAAAAGACTGTAGATAAATAATCAATCTGACATTTTGATTTGGCTCGTGGACGAATAGACGGTGGGGAACGGACACATGGACTTCCCCATATGGACTGCACTGAATTCCAGGGGGTTAGGACTAGTGTTAGGGTTAGCGGGATTGGGATTAGACCCCAAATTAGGACACGGAAATAGATACCCCTTGGAATCTGGCGCAAGATCCCTTGTAGTACAAGGGACAACGGTAGGGTAAGGGCCCGACTTAACTGCCGACAGACTGCGGATCGTGTCATATGGCGTTTTATCTTGGCATCCATTTGCATGCCATTGCAGACATTATGCTGCCAATAACAATTACTTCCCATAACCTCAAACTATCACTTAAACCCCGTTATTTTTCGGAAATTTGATTTTTGTTTATTTTCAATTAACGCGCTCATTCCCGTTGCCATTTGAAAGCGTACAAGAAGACTTCCAGCAGAAATCCTGACAATTTCTGTGTTTTCTTGTATCTCGTCAGCTTACTGTCTGGCGTGCTGCCCCACCGCCATAACCATCATTTCTGTACGACTCGATCCACAGCCTACGCCATACCGTTGCCGTACCGAGGACCCCTATTCACGTGTTTAACCGAATCTACAGCAAAATATTCATTTTACACACTTTTCTGAAGAACTGGATATCCCTGTCGTACTATAGTAATTCAAACTTCTCAGCATTTTTCGACAAATTTATTTCGATTGCCTCCTCACAAACCCGAATTGTTCTGAAGATAATAGTCCCAGCTCAAACACCATTAAATATTAACCAGGAGGCGTGTCCATTGCGGTATTTGGTTCACTCGGACTGGGTTTACTCGATGCTGGATTCCTAAAAACTCCCGAATTACTGATTTACTTGCCATCCGGTGACTCACAAGCCTAGATCCAGAGGTGCTGGGCGTTCGTTGGAACCTAACTAGAAAAGGCCTGCCTTTTGGAGGCCCTGCTGTCACGTCCTGCGGCAAAAAATCTGCTGTAAGCTGCAGAATCCTCCGATAATTTCAGATCGTGGAGTTCGTCTCAAGCCGTCCACGTCAGTGGCCAGCAATCTGTCGAGGTTGCCGTTAGGAGTGGTGTTCTCCAAGGCTCTGTTCTTGGCCCTACACTGTTCGTCGTATACGTCAACGACTGCGCAAACGAACTGGATTGCGATTTTGCAATGTTTTATGATGACATCAAGATCTGGAGTACCATACGAAGCGAAGTTGACGAGGCGCGACTGTAGACGAATCTAGACCGCCTTGAGCAATGGTCAAAATACTGGCTTCTACCGTTCAACGTAAACAAGTGTAACTTCCTACGCGTCGGCAGAACCAGTTCTCCTAACCGCACGGTCTACCGTCTGGCTGGCAAATCACTGCAAGAAGTCGACGCCCTGAGGGACTTGGGTGTATGGATCACAACCTCGCTTAAGCCTTCGCTGCACTGCTCAAAGGTAACCAAGTCAGCGATGTCCATTCTATACCTCTTCAAACGGGCGTACTCTTCCTTTCATGAAAACTGCTTCGCCAAGGTCTTCCGAACGTTTGTGCAACCGCATCTGGAGTTTGCTATCCAAGCATGGAGACCCTGAACCGTTAAAGACCTAGGCATAGTCGTGAAAGTTCAACGGCGGTCAACGAAACGTGTATTTGGACAGTGGTTTCTACCCTACGAAACACGATTAGCTAATCTTGACCTCTTTCCTTTGAGTTACAGACAGCTACGTGGGGGCCTGATGCAAGCTTTCCGTATCGCGCGCAATCAGGGCTGCTGCCTCGCATCTGGAGACTTATTCCAGTTGGCGACTACGACTAACCTGAGAGGCCATCCACTCAAGCTACGTGTGGCTGGTGCCCGGCTAGACACATGAAAATTCTTCTCCAACAGATTGATTGCAGCTTGGAATGCTTTGCCTGAGGATGTCGTTATGTCGGGATCCGTAGACACTTAAACGGAGGCTAGATCAACATTGAAACGCGCACCACAATAACACGGGACTACAGCCACTTTGGAGCCAACGTTGACAATTTAGTGTTATGACGACGCTACTACCAGTATTCAAGTAACGTATGTCTGTGTAATATACTAATTTTGGACCACGTCGCACACCGCTGCTCGCACTCCACGATGCCTGCAGACTAGAAAAATTTTAATTCTTTTCCTGTATCTCAGGTATGCTTCAACTGTCTGCTGCATTTAATCAACAAACCGAGTTCATGCGACTTTAAATGATGTTAACGCATGAAATTCTGTGTTCATCTGTACAGTTTTTATTATTCCCCTTGTATTTCTTTCATGTTGCTTCCTTTCCATTTTCTCCATATACTTCCTCTGCATGTAACCAATAGGAATTTCGAAGGCACACGCCTACTTTCCCTGAAATAAACTGATACTGATACTTAAGCCATTTCTGAACTACTCAAAGGGTGGCAGCAGTCCCCCCCCCATTCCTCACAACCGGACATAAGACTGTCGCGCGCAGCGCATCGGACAGTTTCTGACCTTCCCTTCCGACACCCTTTACGGCTTCTTAGCTAAATAACGCTCTTGAACAGAGGACTTCCCAAGCATTTTTCAGGTACCTCTTATTTTAAATTACACCGAGTACCATTGTTTACTCTTTTTATTAAAAGACTCCGGTCTCAAATAGAACCTTTTTCACTGTCATAGCCAAGCCCCACACCATTTTCTTCCTCCTAAAAAGTCACAAGTTAAAAAAAAACAGCCGGAATATATGCCGCGTATACGCAAGCATAGCACACGTTCGTTTATTTACAACGGATTGCAGACCAGCGTCCCTAGGCCGGTGTTATTAACCAGTCCAGGGAAAACATGAAGAGACGTCGTGGGAATGGGGTTTGGCGATAGGCGAGAAGTTGAGGCTTGGGGAGATGAGAGTCAGAACTGAGCATGCTACAAATACCACTCCTTGCTGCGAATGTCCGGCTGGCCAGTTTGGGCCGATGCGATGCCCTGATCGACGGTCTCCACATTCTTCGCTCCCTTAGCCTCTCGAGTCTCGTAGTCGCCGCGCTTGAGAGTGAAGTTCCTGGCGAAGACGATCAGCAAGACGAGAACAGTCAACACGAGGAGGCTTCCAACCACTGCAGTGAGGAGAAAAGAAGGCAAGATTGCATGGGGAGGATGTTGGAAGCCCTGATTTTACCCGAGGTTTGCTAAGCCCCGGAGTTGCAGACCCAGAAAAAAAATTGAAGAGGGCTTAGGGAACCTATTGTTCAGGTAATATTAACGGACGTAAGAATGAATGTGGCCCGTGACCCGATCGATGAACACAGTTCCAACCTACTAAATACTCCCGATCGCGACCGACAGGTCAATGAAACTGTGGCTCAATGGTTAGAGCGTTGCACTTACTAACGCTCAATAATCAGAAGAACTCGGGTTCGATCCCCAGGTATCCCCAATCCTGGGGTTGGGTAAGACTGGCTGATGACGGTTAATAAACCAGGAATGACCATCTCAGTCTTCCTTTTTGCATTGATTACTAGCGGCTGTGCGGTCTCCTGTGGGGTTCTAGGTTAAATCCCAAAGCACAACCGATGAGCGTCTCACGTAACGCGGTCTGTGAATGCACTTCCAACATAGAATTAAAAGGGACTGCATGTCTGCGTGATGATAGTGTGTGATAATTGTAGTGATAAATGCGCCGAAGTTCCCTGGTGGTGGACTCCCGAAGGTCAACCACATTCTCTCTCTCTACCCTCATCCGTGCACCAGCTGAGTGTCCGAGCTGGCAAACCAACCGATGGCGGGACTGGACGCAGTGGTTGACAGAACCAAAAATAGTCAACGTGTGCCACTAACACGACCTGGCCCCACGCAACGCACGGTGATTTCACACGATGGGGGTGCGCTGCTCGGATGTCACGTGTGCAAGAGTAGCACGGGGATCACAGGAAGAGGGTGCGGGCTCACTAGTTGTCATTAGTTGACAGACCCCAACCCAAAACGGCATAACTGGAGTCTCAGTCAAAGGACCTACCGCTTCCCCCTCTGTCTTTCTCCTCCCGAGGTTGTCAGATTGCAAAACTGCTCGTGTGTTATTATTACTTCATAGTCTCTGAGGCTGAGCTCCTGTACGGGTCTGACAGTTCGGATGAGTATGATCACGGTTCCGGTGATCATGTGGCCTTTTTCTTTGCATATCCGCCTCCGATCAAGAGAACAGAATCGGTAGTTCTGCCATGGCTGCCGTTATCAGCCCACCATACCCAAACGCCAGGTCCAAAAGACCGGGGTTTCGAGACAGTGTTCAGGTAGTTAATTAATGCAACGCCCTACTAGTTTGCCCAGGAAAGTTTTCTTCTTGATCCAAGGCATATTCGTTGGTGACTTTCGTTGTGGGCAGTCATTTTTCTCGAAACTGAAGTTTTATGTTTGAATTAGTATTCAAATGTGACCCAAACGACCATCTTCGTGAAAAGGAGCGCCCGAACACTCGCTAATTCGGTAAATGCCTTCAAGAACAGTCTTATTTTAAAGTCCTCAATAGATAGATAATTGAGAATCTGTATTTATGGGCGATCGGATGAAAACACTGAAAATCATGAAGTATTCAGCAAAATTTCGAGGCCGATCTGAAATTCAACGTAATCCAAAACGAAGGAAAAGTATAGATTAAGTTAACGGAAAAAAGTTCTCTCTATAAACACAAAATGCTATGTTTACGATCACGCCTGTCAGTTCTATTTAAATTTATTAGGCACCGACCGGCCTCATGGCATGTCACCTTATAAAAATTGTTGATCCTACGACGTCCCCATCGGCGAAATCAAGCAAAATCCAGTTTCGCTTGTTGAACCCCATCTCATTTAACTCCAAATTGTCAAGGAAATTACGAAACACTGGAAAACTGTTTTGGAATCTACACCCTGATTGTAGGCAGTTGACAAACCGTCATATGTGAGGTCACACTGCTTATTAGAGGATAGTTAGATGTAAACTTCACTAAAACACTGTTATTAGACGTTATTTTATGTCATCTTTCAAATTTACGTGGTTGGCATAAGAATACATTCTGTACATCTAAAAACTAACTTTACTTAATTAGAACCATTTCTGACATTTTCGGGATATTGCGCTTTTCAAAATAAATCGACAGTTCTAAACAACGCAACACTGCCTATAATATTTATTTTATGTTTTTACTTCCTTTAAACTTGTACTTAGTTAAAATAGACATTTGACTCATGAAATGGTGTCAGTTTGCGAGTGGTTGGCAATCATTCGTAAAGTTCGACACATTTCACGAGTTAGGTCACTAACTGTACATCCTATCAGGTCAAGCCAGACACAATGAAAAAGGAAACCGACACGTTCTAGACCTAAGTTCGAGTGTTTATATGAAAATAGCCTGAGCACCTACCCCTGAAGAGCAAAATCAGAAGACTGCGGATCAACCGATGCCATCTGCTTGAGGGAAACTCATGTACATAACCTAGAGTGTGGCTTTTTGATTTTGCTGTGCACTTTTCATAAACCTCATTTTTCGCATTTTCTAAGGGTGAAACGTAGTAGTGGCGGTACTTTACAAACATAAGTAGAGACGTTTCGGATCACAAAAGTAAGCAGCCTGTGAGACTGTAACATTACCGCCGAATATTATTCGCTGTTGTGTCAGATCTTCCTCGGCACGGCCAATGAGAGTAAGATTCGGCGGAAGCGAAGGAGAAGGTCGAATTTCCAGGGGTTCTGGTGGGGGTAGGATTTCTTCAAATCCACACTTATTTTCCGTAACGGAATCTTTAATGGAGACGAATGAAATCACTGGTTACCTTTTGCAAATGCGGGTGACAGGTATAAATTTATAACTAAAGCGTGGCTTTCTGTTATACGTGGAAATGGACTAGTAAATGACACATGCGAAGGAGAAAACCATTGATGCGAGTCAAAATACGCAAATTTTCTATCCACATAAACACAGCCAGTCCGTAGAAAAGCCGGACTATGTTAGCCAGATTTGGATCGTGATCACTTTCGAGCTAAATTTTTCAAAAGAGCAATTGTTTGACTAACCCTGTGACCGAATCTCACTCTCCCTTGTGGGAGACCAATCCTGCACGTATACGCGCGACAATAAAGGTAAGAGATGATACAGTTGAGAATGCTTTGTCATAAAATCTTTCATTTTCCCTCCATACTGAGTCTCTTTTCACTAAAGTTCGTAAACTTCCTTATTACATTCGTCGTCTTTGTTTCCGCCACACACCTCAACCTTAACCTGGTGATTCATAGATGTCTGCATTCTTCCTCTTATCCTTTATTGCTCTGATGTCATTTTTTCTGCTTTGCTCAAAAAACTCTGATAGTTTTAAGACAAGTTCTCCGAATGCTCTCCTCTACGGCCGTTTTCTTATCTCCTTTTAGCCGATATTACTCTACAACGACATTTCAAAACAGTCAAGCAATTTGCTGGTCGAATTCTGGATGACGTTGCCTATCCCCTGCATTCTGATCTAAGCTCTGCAAAGTCTTCCCGATCCATGCGTCCTGGCCTTTGACTTATCTTTTGTCGTACACCGGCATGTCAACATTTAGTGTTGCCATTCCTGACGCTCTATCTTACATGTGAAGGGACAGAAATACAGAAACTAGGACTCGAACTGTCCCCATAATAGTCGTTTCTTTTTGCGGAAAACTTTTAACTCTTGAGTAATTTACCAACTTATTCTCTGTCCATAGTGAATGAAGTCCATTTTTGCTCCCATTTTAAATCTCCAGCGGTCCCCTCGGCTTTTTCAGTGTGGGCCCACCGCTCTGTCATAGACCGTGTGTGATACTGTAGCCTCTTAATTTCCTCAGAAATTAATCGCCAACATGGAGTAAATCAGCCTATTTGAGACTGATATACTAAAAAACTGGAGTATCTACCAGAAAGCCCATGTGGGACGGAGGGAACCTATTGATGAGTCGAAACCTTCGCGGCTGCGTCATGAAGGGGTACAATATCGGCGAAACACGTGTCTGGGATCTTAGCTAGTACCTGTGCTATCAAATATGATATTTCGTGCAACCTACGTGTATAATTCGCCCACAAGAGAATGCTCGGCATTGGATTAATACTGATAGACAGGTTTACGCACTTGGTGGTTCAGAATAGACAGCTGGATTCTTCGGTGATTCAAAGAGCATGCGGATGGGGAAGAAACTGTTCCACTGAGCGGCGTACAGGCACCCGTCGAAGCCACGGTTTGAGGGCATAGATTCATTACGGCCAAGATAGATTGCCCTCGGCTTGTCCAGCCTTGTGTCTGCCGTTTCCGAAAGCAATGAGCTGAAGTTGGCCACTATTTCCGGATAGTCGTCGACCTTCAATTTCAAAAACGTTTTTTATAAATAAATGTATCTACTTGGCAATTGTAAGTAGGTCGTTAGAACGCCTCAAGACATACGTACCTGCAGGTGCCAGACTTGGCCGATGTGCGTTCGCCACGCGACCACAGTGTGGTGCTGGTCGTTTGCCAGGTCAACTATGTAGTCTGTAGTGACCTCGAAGCGACCGAAGCCGACGTCAAATTCTATAGTTATCCCGCCATTGTTGTTAACTCTAATTATTATATAGTTCGTCTTCCCCTCTCCCAGCATCTCCATAAGGATCCCGTTCTTGGATTTTGTTTTAAAGCCAATGGTTATGTATTCATCCAGCGTACCCAGTCGGTCATGAAGGTTCTGCAGATCTATCTTCACCATAGGACCATTGTTAAATGTGGCTCCAACCTCTAAAAGAGTTCAATGGAAGGATGAAGGCTGACTGAGTAAATATAGACTGAATGAATATGTACGCATTCCGGAGTAATTTGGCTCATAATAATAGTCAATTTATCCGGCGTGGATCAATGTGCAAGTACAAAGAAGACTGCACCAAACATCGCATGCCTAGCGATTATTACATGTCAAGAAAATAAAAGGCAACTGGAGTGAGTTTTAGGTTGTCCAAAATTTTGCGACAAAAACATGCCAAAAGAGATTTTTTTGAAAATTCATTTAAGCAATGATAATAATTTAAAATCGAACACTAAAAATTAAGTTAATTACTAAGAACGACAGCAAGTGTCCCACCGAACGCTGATGGAATCACGGACGAAAAGGATATCTAATTATTATTTGGTGAAAATATAACAAAGAAAGAACAAAGGCAAATGATTGGATACTTCGGAATATAATTTCGAACGAAGGGTTGGGTAGTTTCGGGAACTAAGCAAGTCCTTCGATACCAGTTTAGATTCTTTAGTTTTGCAGACGCTTCGCTCCCCTTCTTCCCTATTCAATGGCAATTTCAGGATATTTAAGTGCGATCAACTGTTTATCAACTGGTATTTGGTGGTTTTAATTAGTGAGCTAATATAGTTTGCAGTTTCAAAAATTGAGTTCCCAGAGTTTATTTCAGTCCAAAGGGCAGTTGGCTTACCACGACCGCATATGAAGCCCCGATAGGGTGTGAGGCCGCATTCGCAGAAGTAGTGTGAGTAATATTCGTTGCATTGGCCCCGATTTAGGCAGGGGTTCCTCTCGCAGCGTGGCTGGCAACCCACGCGAAGCCCATAGGTTGTTTCGCCACGTTCCACTATCCCGCGAATGTCCTGCACGACGCCGTTGATCAGGAGATTTGAGAGGCAGCCAACGTAACCGTCCGTGAAGGCCTAGTGGACACGCCAAGAGACATAGATGCTTTAAGCTCACAAAAGCACTGTCGGTAACGTTATTGTGGTCTTAGATTGTGCGAATGGGATCATGTTACGAAGTTGGAAGATGTAGGCTGCTGTTTCCCCCCCATTGGTACTAATCAGGTGCGTCTTGATTCCTTTCCTTGAAAGCCAGGAGTTGATTTCCAGATATCACACTGCTTGCATGATATAATATTCAGGGGACTGATTGAGAAAGTACTGCACAAGAACGGCAGAGATTGTCGTGTGACAGTGTCTCGTTTAAGCCAGTGAGAACCGGCTGTAAGGGAAGAGTGATACTGGTCAAACTCCCTTGACAAGAGTTAATGTCACCTCGAAGTCCTGATTAGGATGTTCTCGCATTATTTACCATTCATTGTGGGCTAACAGTGTTTGATCTGTTTGTGTCGTTGGTTTTGAAATGCGAGATCTGAGACTTGAATTCTTAATGGCTTGAATCTTCATGCAGAAGGGCAGATAATGCTTGTAGATGGTGAATAAGGCCTACAAAAGACACCCGTTTGTGTTCACTAGTTCTTTTATGTCAGATGTCAACATTGTTTGAAATCTTCCTAAGAAGGCGCGTTTGGTGCCAAACAGGCAAAAACAGAATACGCACTGAAAGATCCCAATGAATGTTATTCAGAATACTTTCCTCGGCGATTATAGAATTCGAGAAACGCGCCGAAAGATGGAAAACAACAGACAACCGTGCCATCATCCGTCAAATATCCCCCTCCTCTTCATGTGCAGTTGGTGCATGTCCGACAGTTATGCAAGTCCGTATGCCCTTCATATGTGGGTCACTTAGAATATGAGCTACGATTCCACTGGTGTTTCAATCATCCCTTCTTGATACGCAGCGATTCATACTAAGATTTCAAGAATATTTTGTTTGCATAAGTCTCATCTTTCATCTGAACTGTTCGTAGCACTGCCACATATTAGAACGAAACATGCACGAATGGTGTTAACCGATCACATCGGATTGTGGAATGGGGGTGCAGGCCTCTCGCTTTGGTTCGAAATTCTAACCCTGAATGCTTACAGGTGGTCACCTAGTAAGGAGTAGGCGATACCGGCAAAGGCACGGAAAAGCGACAAATGTCATCCCTAGCTTGTTTGCCATTAGTGGCTGTAGCGGCACAGCAGTGAGACTAAGTGCTCTGAGCGCTACAACCACCAGGTCGAATCCCGTGTTGGAAGGGAGACGACAGAAGGAACCTGAATGAGGGGTTTATTGTGCACAGAACCCGGAGTTGTCCTCTCAGGCGATAGTGGCAACTGGTGAAGCCAGGGCTGGTGTTGACTGCGTCCAGTCATGCCTGAGAGTCCCTGAGATATTGGTGGCAGCCGCTTTTGTAGGCTCGTGGGCCAAGCTCAAGTGGCGGCCAGTCACTGTGTGTTGCATTTGCCGAGGGGTGGTGTTGCAGTGGCTTGTTTTGCTGGTTGCAGGGGGTGGCGCGTTCAAGTGGCGCACGGGTATCCGCGACATTGTGAGGACGCAATTGCGTTCGAGCCGGGTCCGGCTAGCCATGCAACGTAACGCTTCACCAGTCAGCTCAATAATTCATGTCTTGTCGGCAACCCAAGTTTAGATATGACTGGCTAACGATTAAAACAGCAAGATGGAAGTCGTCCAGTGTCCCTTGTATTTCTTGATCAGACACCCACTCCTCCCCAGTTACCGCTCGGCTCAATTTTCTGACCCTTACGGGTGTAAGTTCAACACGCCTGGTCCAAAGAGCTGTCACGCAAGTCCAGGTGAATCGATTCCAAAACAGCATCAGTTCAGCCATTGCGAAGGACAATGTCCATCGTACAGTAGGTGGGCGAACTCATGAAATGTCAATCGAAATTTCGAAATGCGTTTTCGTTTTGAAAAGCATAATTAAGTAGGGTAGTAAAACTTATAACTGTATAACATAATTCTATAACAATTCAGTTACCTCCGGACGCCGGCTCTCGAAAAAGCTTCTTTTTGACTGCATGCAAGACCTATACTCTGTAAAAAATGACTAGTTAAGTAGCATGCATTTTTTTCTCACTGATTTTCGATGCCCTTAAAAGTTCAATCATCTTTCACAGAAAGCATGCGTAAAAATACTCATTCCTTTGCTCATTCGGTCGAAAATTACGTCTTCTTCCAATTTTATACTCGGATAAAGTGTATAATTCGGTTTTAAAAAGTTTCTAATTCTGAGATTTTTTAATACCGTGAGATAGCCGTTCGTAAAACGTCATGTCTCTGCCTTTAACAATGTGGCTTGTAAAGTTAACAGTATGGATCAAATGCACTGATAAATTTTATGAACCCCATATGATCTCCTCTTAATACCGTAGATAAATGTATGGTTTTCCCTATTCAGAAAATATATGGCTTGTAGTTTGGAAACCCTGAATGTAGGTGTAGCGGCACGTCGGGTTCAAAATTATTCGGGAATCCGAAAAGTTTTTGGAAACCGAATTATACCATTTCTCCGGGCAAAAAGTTGGAAGACGGCGTCGAAAATCAATGAGAAAAATGCATGCTACCTAAGTAGTCATTTTTTACAGAGTGTAGTTTTTGCATGCAGCCGGGGCGTAATTCGTTCGAAAGCCGGCATCCTGAGGTAACTGCATTATTATAGAATTACGCTGCATGACGACCAGCTTTACAACTCTGCTTAGTTAATCTTTTGGAAGCGAAAACGCATTTCGAAATTTCGTTTGACATTTCATGAGTTAGCCCACCTACTGTATGCCCTGCAGCATGGTGGGCACAGGGGTAGTAAGTTGCGAGTAAAATAGTTTATAGTGAGATTGGACTTGCGCAGCATCTACCGCACTCTCTGCTCCCTCACCCTGCTGGGACCGGTGTTAAGACCAAGTCAGTGCGACCGGAGGCGGGGTCGAGCGCTGTCGCTGACAGCTTGTCTACGCGTGTCATTAGAGCCTGGTCTGCGCACCAAGGCCCGGGATTTCAGAAAAACAAGAATGGAGTGGCTCGGACGCCCGCAGATTGGGAGTGCTATAGGGGCCATTTGAAGGAGCTATTGCAGGCAGGTTTTCTGCCCTGAGAGAACCGCATTATCCCGTCAAATGGTGCCCTTCCAAGCCACGACTTTTAGCGTGTAGCAATATTTTTTAAGCACGTCAGATTGTTTATAGTGAGGAATATGCGTTGTGCCGTGGGACGGAGTCCGCAGAGTCGACCTCACTATCTCCTCCCCCTCCCCCCGGCAGAGGTCTACGTTTCCAGCCGGTCAGGTACCTGATGCGGGGATTGGACGCAGGTGGCCAACGCGGGATGAGCTTGCGCCTAGGCGGACTACCCGTCTGTGGCATTTGTTACGCGATGCGCAGCCCGGTCAACGCATGCCGGACCCTGATCTATATCTCTTGTTAGTCCAGCGCGTGGCCCGTCTGATGCCACGCGGTACGGAAAGTAAGTAAACTATAGACAGCGTCGTTTTCCAGATAGACTGCATGTCTACTAACCTGGGTTGTTCCGACAAATAGAGGCTGATCAAAATCAAAACGCTGGAATGAGCGTTCCTCGGGTTCAACCAAAATTCTGGCCGGATTTGAGTCCACTATGAGACGGGACTCTTTTCGGTTCCTTTCGAGACGGACGACATGCCATTGGTTGTTGTTGAGCCAATAGGCGGTGACCACCTCCAGGACCTGAAGTCCGTTGCCCACGTTGAAGGCGAATCTGAAGGCGAAACCACCTAACGGCGAAAAAATCAAGAAGTTTAAGAGAAAAATCCCCTCTAGAAATGAAATAAATCAAATGTAAGAGGCAGAATCCAGGTCAAAAGTACGGTTAGTCACGCCAAACCCTCATGCATTAGGAAGTCTACTAGAAGAGAACCTGAAGCTACAGATGATCAAGTGAAAAAAAACTGATGGACGACTACCACAAAAACTAGGATTTTACTAAGTGATGAGAAGAGACAAACGGAGAGAATATGAACGCAGAAGTAAGTGCAGGAAAAGTGGTGGAAGAAGAAGAAGAAGAAGAGAAAGAGGAAGAAGAGGAGGAGGAGGGTGAAAGAAGAGGAGGGGGAGGAGAAAAGGGAAGAGGATGGGAAGAAGGTGGAATAAAAGTAAGCAAGAAAATCCTCGACTGTCCCATATTGCAACTTACTTCGGATCCGAAGTTCAAAAAAATGGCCCGATTTGCGCCCGACATTTTGCATCAACACTGCATCTGTCACAGTGGTCTTGAAGAGGAAACTCATGTCAAATTCGAACTCGGCGTAAATGAGAGGTAGCTCAATGTTGGCGTCCGGTTTGACAAATGTCACGGTATTGTCAAACAGACGGTCTCCCAAACAGCGCAGCTCTTGGACACTGTACTCGGCCTTTTTATTGTCACTGAGGCTACCTGTATCTCCAAAACGGACCTCCCAAACTGGAAGATCTTCCTGTTTTAGGAGAAAAGAAGTTGAAAAGAAACATCAGGGATTGAATAGAAAGCAGACGAGGTCCCTGATGTTATGCGGCAAGACCATGTGCGATCTCGGCAATCGGAAACTAGTGTTCGAACATTCCCATAGTTTAAGAAAAAACCTGGGCAAGATGTGGCTATGTAGCCCCACCTGATGGACACAGTAGTATCGGGGTTGGGACTAGGGGTTAGGGTAAGGGGTTAGAGCAACTATTTCACAAACCACTCAAAGTAAAACCGAGCATTTCCAATAGCTTTTCTTTTGTATATAACTACTTGATCTTGTCGCTTGTGCGTTCCCCGGCCCCACCCGTAAAAACCCCTTTTATCACCTGTCCCGTATTACAGGTGGCTGGGGTTTGTGTACTTCAGGTAGGGCTACATAACAACATCTGACCTAAAGTTGTACTTTGTCCAAAAAGTAAGCATAATGTGCCAAGCCCCAATAATCGCATGCAATTTAATTTTGCGCTTTGATTAACTTGATGCTTTATTTTTCGGCTTGTTTCCCAAAAAGGAGCGATTTTAACCTTCGTTTCTCTTGTAAGCCGTACTGAAGGCGGTCAGGAACGAGTGCTTTACCTAGTTCAGCATAGAATACACAGACAAGGTCACTGGTTTCGGGGGGTCTGCAATCTTTGTTTCAGGAAAAACATACTTGCAATTATTCGCTACGACCTTGATGCCACTGCATTACTCACAGCTCTAGGCGCACAAACAAATTGGTAAATCAACTTGTTATAGTCCGAAAACCAAGTAATAATTATTTTTAATCGTTTTATACAAGTACCCTTCCCTTCCGGAGTTACTTCTAATCGGAAATATAAATTGGCGGAAATTCAGAAGAGCACTTGGTCAGCATACGCTTGCTTTCGATAAATTCTCATCGGACCTGTACATTGGTATGGCGATCAGGTACAAACTGAAACGTGTGAGCGATAAGAGCAATCGATTAAGGTTCGTCTGTTTCATCCAAATAGGGCGTGTGAGTAGAGGGGGGAAGGTAGGGGGTAGGAGGCAGTAAGTGATAGCGAGGGTTAGGCGGAGCCGTGCCACAAAAGTGAGCGGGGACGGGGACGCGGAGACATGCAATCGATCCTTGCTCACAGTAGACGCGGAGCATGCAAGAGGTTCTTCCGCACGCCCAGGACTGGCCTCTGTAGCCAGACGACAGTCGCTTCTGCCGTTACTATTAAGCGCTGAGCCGGTCGTTTAGAATAGTTAGGTAGGACCTTGTAAATCACACAGAAGGCTTCGCTGGGATCCACACAATGCCCTAAATCAACCTTGTGTGCGAGGATGGAACTGTGTATGTTCTTTACTTCGCCTTTCCTCACCCATGACGACAAGTATTGTCGTATTCTTGTGGAGAGGCGCCGACTAGTACGACCAATATAGCCTGCTTCACAGGAGCAAGTAAAGGATGCTGTAAATCAAGCACAGTCGTCGATCAGGTTTACGCTGGGGTGATTCCACCCCAGCTGCCTTTCCTAGACATCCTTCTAGGCATAAAGGCTGACGGCAGCATTCGAAGAAGCGTCTATCGAAAGGACACCTGGTCTGGGCAATATACGAACTTCTATAGTTTCGTAACCCCTTCAGCAGAAACGTAATCTAGTGCGGTTTTTGGTTCAAAGAGCCAAAAAAATCTAGGCAGGATGGTACTACCGACAGAGACAAGGGAGACTGGAATGGCCATTTCTGGCTTATTAGCTGTCATCAGCAAGGCACACTCAACCCCGAAGTGTGGAACACCCGAAGCTCGAATTCACGACCTGTTGGTTAGAAGTCCACGCCTCCAACCACTGGGCCACGAGCCCGTTGTCCTGTCGGTTTTCGATCGGGAATATACAATGGTAGAAAGGCGCTGACTGACTGACGACGGTTAAAAAGCCAGAAATGGCCATTCCAGTCTCCTTTGTATTTGTTGGTAATACCATTCTGGCTATATCATGCGCCGCTGTGCGGCTGCTGGTTTGGCTCGAGAGAAAGCTTGTAAGGCACAACGGAACGAGTGAGTTCCGTAGGAACGATCGGTGAGCGCCCTTCTACCACTAGAAAAATCTGTTCAACAGTAAACTTTAATAAGGAAATAAGAAGAATCTAGGACATGCTTCACGAGAACGGGTATCCTGACAGATTTATTGTAAGGAATCTTGCCGAACAACCGGCAAAACTAATCATACCGACGACGGAAAGGTAAACTCTGTTCCTCAAAGGGGACGTGGCGAGTGAGCTCCTGAGAAGTCGTCTTGACCAAGCCGTTTCACGGACCTTCCCGGCAGCAAGAGTGCAAGAATTGTTTTGAACAACCCCATCTTACGCGGGGAAGGTAAGTACAGGCCACAAGCACAGACCACCTTCATGTGCATTTACTTCTTTACTTGCTCCTGTGGAGCAGGCTATGTTGGTCGTACGAGTCGGCGCCTATCCGCAAGAATACGAGAATACTTGCCGGCATGGTTGAGGAAAGGTGAAGTCAAGAGCATACACAACTCCATCCTCGCACACATGGTTGATTCTGGGCATCGTGTGGATCCCAACGAAGTCTTCCGCGCGATTTACAAGGTCCTACCTAACTATCCTAAACGACCGGGTCAGCGCTTAATAGCAACGGCAGAAGCGACTGCCGTCTGGCTACAGAGGCCAGTCCTGTGCGCGCGGGAGAACCTCTTGCATGCTCCGCGTCTACTGTGAGCAAGGATCGATAAACTGTATGCATGTCTCCGAGCCCCCGCCCCCCCCCCATCGCCCTTGTGACACGGCTTTACCTAACCCTCGCTGTCGCTTACTGCCGCTCCTCCCTTCCCTCCCCTCTATTCACATGCCCCGTCTGTATGAAAAGACTAACCTTAATCGATCGCTCTTATCGCTCACACGTTTCAGTTTGTACCTGGTCGCCATAAAAATGTACGGGGCCGATGAGAATTTATCGAAAGCACGCGTATGCTCGCCAGATACTTTTCTGAATTGCGGAAATTGCCTCTTTCACATTTCACTTCTAGACTGCCAAAGAAATTCAGAAGAAAGCATGCATCTTTTTGAAAAATCCTAACCTTCTTGCTAAAAACTCTTCAAAATTTTGCTCAAAATAATGGTGCAAAAGTTGAGAGTACGAATCTTGAGGCTCTCATTTGCAATAGGTCCAGCGTTCACAGCGGTAATGCTCCTAGGTTGACTTGTTTATTGTTAGAAACGGATCAGAGCATGCAAAAGCATCATATTCTCCTGGAATATACGGTTGGTAATGTAAGGGTCATGACAGGGCGAGAAATATTAGGTCAAAATCAGTATGGTTTGAAAAAACCTTCTCGGTCTCGTTACTTTTAGTCGATGACTTAGAGTGGCGGCCTCTCCAAAGACTGCCTCTAAGTCATCTTTTCAGGACCCATCTTACTTTATAAACATCAAAACCAGACAAGTTACCTAAAGCATAACTTGGCGATGATTTTATATTTTGATCAAGAGGCCTCATTTGAACTTGTTACACTCTGTTAGGCGAGATGCTGTGAGGGCGACTCAATTGAGGACAGTGCTCAAACTACTGACGAGCCATATGATGGAAGCACCTGACCACTTTCGAAACCCTGACACTAAGATGAGTTAAGAACTGATATTTAAAGTAAATCTTAGGGGGCTGAGGTACTTTTAGACAGTGGTGTTTGAACGCAAAATAATAAAAACTGTGAACTGTGTTCCTCCTTCTCCGGATGGACTCAGTTTATTCCGTCGCCAACACGTTCGTATTTCAAAGGCCATCAAATATGCAGTGGAACTTATTGCCATACCTTGAAGGCTAAGAGGCCGGTGTCGACCAGAGGTGGAGTGTCTGACCCATCACTATCGCAGTTGCAGGTCTGGGAGTTTCCGGTGCAGGTTCCACGAACACCGCAGTCGCAGCGCGTCAATCCGGGTACTCCACCTCCCCAGTAGTATCTCGGACGGCCCGTTCTGCTCACCCACCAGCCCCAGGTCAGCTCGTTTCCGAAACCTAAAATGTAGGGGTCCTCAATGTCGAATGCCGAAGAGCCTGTGTACGCGTCGTACACTCCGTTTACATCTTTTGCACCATTTTAAGCACATAGTGAGTGCTACTTATTACTTGTGAGTAGTCTTACCCTGGGGTTTGGCTAGAAGTTTGGCATTCCAACATCGGTAGGCGACAGATTGCTCGCAGGTGAAGGCCCGCCTAACGAGTTCGGCGAGCGCCTGGCGTGAAGCCTGGCCGTAGTCTAGTACACGGCGGTAGGATCCGGGGGCGTTGAATCCATCCACGGTCATGAAGCCCATATCGGTGTGCGTTACCTGGGTTTCTGTCATCGTCGGATCTAACGGAATGAAGTGATCGAAAAAATGCACCAGTTAGCAAATTTATGCATCAAGGCAACTTCTGAAGGCCCAGTGTTTTGATATATTTTAGGTACCCTTTTGGCTATTTTTGACTCGCATAAGCTTGATCGTAGACAGCGTTATATTCAGTAAGGTGCTAGAGAAACCTCTGACCTGACGGAAACACGGAATATACACAATTTCATTACCGACCAAGGCAAGGGAGACTGGAATGACCATTTCTGGCTTATTAGTCGTCGTCAGCCATTCATACCCAAGCCCGAAGTGTGGAGCACCCGAGGCTCGAACTCGCGACCTCTTAGTTAGGAGTCCACGCCTCTAACCACTGGGCCACGAGCCCGTTGCCCTGTCGGTTTCGATCGGGAATATACAATGGTAGGGGGCGCTCACCGATCGTTTTTACGGAACTCACTCGTTCCGTTGTGCCTTACGGGCTCTCTCTCGAGCCCAACCAGCAGCCGCACAGCGGCGCATTATATAGGCAGAATGTCAGTGAGCGCCCCTCTACCATTGTATATTCCCGATCGAAACCGACAGGGCAACGGGCTCGTGGCCCAGTGGTTAGAGGCGTGGACTTCTAACTGACAGGTCGCGAGTTCGAGCCTCGGGTGTTCCACACTACGGGCTTGGGTATGACTGGCTGACGACGGCAAATAAGCCAGAAATGGCCATTCCAGTCTCCCTTGCCTTTTTCGGTAATAACATTCTACCTATATCATGCACCGCTGTGCGGCTGCTGGTTGGGCTCGAGGGAGAGCCCATAAGGCACAACGGAACGGGTGCGTTCCGTAAGACCGATTGGTGAGCGTCCCCTACCACGGAATATACAGTTCTCCTAAAACGAGACAAGGCGAAGGCTGCAATTTCCATGGACACAAAAACCAAACTGAGCCGTCAGATTTACAAGAGATGGGGGAAATGTGCGAGTCAAGTGGCACTCTTACTTGTGAAGTCACAGAGCACAGTGATTGGATGAAGTACACCCGAACCATCAAGGTCAATCGTAGCAGTCATTTGAGGCGCCACGTCGCCGTAGAATAGGCCGACC